ATGGGAAATGGGATTAATAGGACCGCGTAAGCGTGGATAGTAGCTGCCGCTCACCGGCTTTTCCAGCTTCGCCTGCAACTTCTTCTTCTGGTTCGCCAGCTTCTCCTGGAGCGGGTGCTCGCTCTCACTGTTGACCACAATCTTGTCGAGCATCGACTTGCCCTTGCAGGGCGGCGAGGGCCTGTAGCGCAGCTCAATGTCCACGTGCCCTTTATTGCGAAATGACATTGAGGGATGCTCTTTCAGTTCGATGTGAACACTCTCACCGTTGGCATTGTGGCCCAGGCTGGCGCCAGGCTTGAGCGGATGCTCCCGCTCACAGATGGTCACAGTACTACTCCGAGGGCCGCTCTCTTGCAGATGATGAATTGAATGGGCGTGAGTAAGGCGGCTGCCCGCCACAGGCGGCGGCGGATGGTGGTGATGATGATGATGATAGGCGGCCAATGGATTTTTGTGGCACTTTTTCTGCATGGTGAAGTAGTCATTGTAGCGACAAGGCTGCAGCGAGTTGATGCGATGGGCGGTCGTCTGAGGCATAGAAATGGTACGCATTATATAAGCACGGGCCGCGCCGCAGCACACAACTTACAACTGTGGGCGTCGAGTGCAGTCCGACTGCGGTAATGTCCTTACGTCGCACCTCCACATTGGGCGCCCCGCCACCTGGCCTGCCCCACGGGCAGTGCTGCAGAAACAAATCGTAGTACTGCGAAAAACACAGAGATGTTGATAACAGTCATACGTATTGTGTGTCCATTTATGGCTTTATGACTTTATCGATTTGCTCGCAGCCTATATTCGGCGCGGCACGGAACCTGGCTCGTTCTATCCCTGCCTCCATCCTTCCGCTTGTTTACGGAAATTGACAATGCCCAAGCTCCCACCTTTGTTTGTAGGTTGTTGTTATAGTTGCAAGGTGGTGCGGTTTGCTTTTCATTCACCCATTTTTATTTGCCAACTGAAATTCCGCTGGATTTAAGTCACATTCACAGTCAGAAGCACGCGAACTGATGCCAGTTTAGCTCAGTGACCGACAATGTTGCTTCTGCCTCACTGCTTGCCTTGATTACTTACGTATTGGCAAAGTCAAACTTGTCAAATGGTTTGTTGAACCAAATTCTGGCTAAGTTATTACATTTGCTTGTCGCAGGTCTTTGAACTCGACTTCAGCGTGGGTGCAAAAACTTATTTTTTGTGAAGATTCCATGCCAAACAAATTTGATAACATTTGAGAAAAGTAAGCTATAACCAGACCCAACTTATCCAATTGCTGTTAGTTTGCTTAATCTACACGGGTATGTTGGTTTTGTCCAATGTCCGTTCGTCCGTCCATCCGTTCGTTCGTCCGACCGACCAGCAGGTCCGTCCGTATGAACGGAAAACTGTTTCTGCTAGAGAAACTAGAGGCTTTTGGAATATATATGCCATAGTTGTGGAATCATAAAGGTATGTATCCAAAACGTATGTATTCACGCCCACTGGGGCGTGTTGTTAAGTAAAGAATCTTATCTTGTCTACTATCACCGAGATGCCGGCTGAGTGTCTTTTAGCTTAAATATGAGCAAAGAGATATACTCTAACCAGAAAAAATAGATATTTAAATTTATATAACTATTTCAATGTAATTTGCTGTTAGTCAAAAAAAAGTTTACTAAGTAAGTCTGCTTTGAGGTAAGACTAACCACGTCAATGGTCCTTCCATTTATCTATTGCCTTGAATACAATTTTAAACTTTTTAGAACTAATAAATAATACTTACACTAATAGCAGATCAAACTGTTTATGGGTTAGGTCTAATAGATCCGCGCTGATATTTTAAATTGAGTTTCTTCTATTGCCTAAAAGGATTTTGTTTGTTTTGATTTGCTTCTCAGATAAGGTTTTCTGGTTGCACATCCAAGATGTTGAGGGTCTCGAACATATTTGATTGTTCTAATTTATAATATATGAAGCTTGCACATGAATCTCTAACACGTTATTTAGAGTGCAAATCTATGTGTTCGCGTGAGGCTGAGGGAACAGATATAAATATCGCAGATTCCATATTTATCTGCACTTGCCTAACTTTGTTATATCTTGCTTGAACTCGTTCTATATTAATTTTATTTTATTTTATTGTTGTGGGCAGCTCGGACTGTTTTATAATAGAATTTAAATTTAGGATACACAATAAGTAATTGTTCGGAGTACAACTTTCTCGATTGCCAAACACGAAAATGTCTTTTGCCTAGGACTCTCTGAGTCAGACACTAACAAATTGTTTACTTGCCTCTCAGCTCTGAGCCAATTTTTTTAAGTCAATCAGCTGCCGAATAATAGTATTTAAAATGAGGCAACCATAGATGCTTTTAATAATGAATAATAAATAAATAAATTCCCCTAAAGCTGCTTGGAAGTTGTAGTTGTAATTTAAAGAAAACAATATTCGTAAAAATAATAATAAATAAATGAAAATGTTTTCTTCAACTGTTAAGGAATATTAATTACAAAATATAGACATTGTGTTATTATCAGAGTAGAGTTTCAATTTTTGATCATTTTTTAAACAATACTAATTTACTAAATTAACTTGTAAATGATTATTAAGAATGGTAGCAGTTGGGCTTAAGCTCCAAAGCTGAGGAAGGCACTGCCTTTGTTTCGAATAACTCACATAAATTTATTTTGCTAAAATATTTGAGGAGGTCAAAGTTCAATTGTCAAACTTGAAAGCTTATTGCTCTAAAACTGTTGTTTTGAGATTTGCCACGCCTCTTACAGGCGCCTACAAATCCACAGGAGGTATATATAGCTTATTCCTATTAAGGCTTAGATTGCACTAAAGCATTCGATATGGATTCAGTTGATTCATATTAAGCTTACTTTTACAGAGTAAATAATGTCATTGTTTTCAGTGTGAATCATAATGTTAAGGAAATCTAATTCTGCAATAATTGAGTTTAGGTATTTACCTCCTGCTTATCCTTTTCCTTGCGGGCACTTTCCTCTGCCTTGCGACGACGCCACATTCGTAGACTCTCCTCGGCATTCTTGCGTTCGACCAGGCCGCTTCTTGTCGTCGCACCACATCAGCGGATGTTGAATGTGGTCGTGGCAGAAGGTGCCCATCTCATCGCTAGTTGTCATCCTGGGGAGCAGCTGGGAAGCGGAAGTATCGCCTCGTTCGGCAAATGACGCGCTACTGAAACAGTGCCGTGGAAAAACCCAAACCTTCGACATCCAAGTCGAGTTGGCCGTCGCCTGGGCCGCGCTGATCCGTGCCAGGCACGGCTATTGGGCTCACCTTTCGGCCTGCCCAACCACTCTGGTTGTCTAGGCAGCGTCGCTAGCCAGCTAGTTATTTATAGTCTAGGTTAGGGCGGTGCACAGACTGCACGTGAGCGCGCGCTGCGCGTATGTCCTTGAAGTTGTTGTTAAGTCAGGCCAGGATTGCATTTCATTTGCGTAACTCGTTCGCCATTTAAATATTTTTGCAGTTAGGCAAACCGCCGCTGTTTGCTCTCCGCCAGCGGCTCGAGTGGTTTCTGGGCGAGGGCTTGGATATAAAATAAATTTATTTTATTGTAAACTATGCGAGCTGTGGCTTTTTGTTCAACGGCTCAACTATGGCCCAGTTGCCCCAATTTACCCAGATTCGTGCGGTTTTTGTATTTAAATAGAAAGTTGCCAAAACTATCAATATTGGCTTACGAGCTTGGAGCGTTGCAATATGCGTGCGGCCCTTTATAGTTAACGTTAACCCAATTAAGGAGCCTCGGCTAACTTGTTGATGTTTGCCAAGCCGAGCCCAGCTGTGTGCCCCGTCTGTCCTCATGTCAGCTAAACATGAATTTCCGTCCCTGAAGCCAATGTGAGCCATAGCGAGAGCCTTCCAGCTGGGTTGGTAATTAGCAGTGAGACGCTGTAGAGGTTGTTTTTATTAATTTGATTTATTCTTTGATTGACTATCGACTCGTCTGCTTAACAAAATTGCATTTTATTCAACTATTGAAATATACAAATTCCGTAATATAATTATCATTATCAAAACATTGTCAACAATATTTGCACATTTATTCTGACCAATTACCCGAGCACCAAACTGTTTTATCAACTATGCAAATGTAGTCTATCTCTAGTGAAATGGGGTTCGCTTAACACGGCTGTAAAGGTGCCTTTGGCTTAACGAGACTACTTCGAAAACCGAAACGGGGATTGAAATTAGTTTATAAATTAGAAAAGTTCTTAAATAAATTTACAATTAATTCAATCAGTTTAACCAAGATTGTTTTTAGTTTTCTTACATTGTTGGGCACAAAATAAAAACATATTTAAATTAAGACTGGGGCAGCATTGTTTAAATGAGTTATTATTTTCCTGATCAACCTTAACAATTAGTGGGGATTATATAAGAATGTTGTGCATTTCATGCACGAACGGTTCAAAGCTCAATTAAATTTAAATTAGTAAGAAGATACAAAATGTGTAAAGAAACGAAAGTATATATAAATTACAATAGGTTTGTGCTGTCCGAACGCGTTGCAAAGTGATTGAACCATTTGGGCATGAAATGTCTGAAGAACAAATCAAAATTATACATAAATTTAAGGGTAATTCATTAAGCACTGCTCTCTACATAAATATCGTTTGTTGCATTGACTAATAAACATTTTGATTGATTAACTTTTCACTGACTCTAAAGATGAACAAGGATTGTTACAATTAATAGCTCCATAAATATGCAATTCAAGTTCTTCAATTCACTTTCTTCTTCACACTTTTCTCTCATCATATTTTACAAATTTGTGTTTCTTAACAAACGTATAAACTTCAAAATCATTGCATATTCAGTTTATTAAAAATTCATTTCAAATTGTTCATATATATGTATATATATATAAACGTAGTGAGTTATTCGTTTTCGGTCTGTAAATTTGTTACAATGTTCTTCTGTGTACATTTGATGCAATTATTTACAGTGTCAATAACAATGCTTAAAACTAAATAATAAATTTTGTTTTGTTTTTTTTTGCTTCTGTGTTTTGTAGATTTTCTAGTTTCTTTTTACAAATGTTTGCTTGCTTCTCTCATTTGCTGACTTATCTAGCATTCATTACGTGTTGCCTGCCTGCTTCTAACTTAATATTACATGTGTATATATATTAATTTGTATATGTGTATGTATGCTGGATGACTCCTACTTCATGCGATTGATGACTAAGTCGGCGACAACCTGTAGGCCCTTCTGGTAGGGGGACTCCGTCAGCTCCTGTGCCAGCCGTATCGCTTCATTGCAGTGCTTCTTGGCCAGGAAACGCGTCTGCTCGAGTCCGTGTGATTTATGAACCAACTCAAAGGCCCGCTCCACATCGCCCGGCTCGCTGAAGCGACGCATAACCATCGGATTGAGCTCGGGATACTGAAACAGACAAATGAGAAATTCCAAACGAATTAAGCCATCGTTATTGGAGCGCCATCCCCACGCGCAGGTGCGACGGTTTTGAGGCTTGAATGCCAATGCAAACTATCAGACACATTAGCATTAGTCTCTATGGCCTCATGATACGCATGTATATGGCTAGTTTTTACTTTTTAACTGGCCAACTAAGCTCGCGACTGATCGGCAGAGATCGCCACTGTTTGCTGCTTTGAACGCATTGCACGCGCGCGTTTATCACGCTTCGCATATTAAACTGAGTCGAAAACACCATAGAAACGCATTTCATGGCACGCGATGCCATACTCCCAGCTAGCTGCATGATATCATCGGACACCATGCTGCTTAAGTGGGAAATGCACATAGACAGCAATGCAAACACAGTTCTGGACAATTAACAGCTGCCGTCAGTTGTATTCGCAGTGTTTGGAATTTATGTATGTACTTCGCAGTCAGGCTGTTGTCACAGCAATAAGGAAGTCTGTCGGCGGCTCACCTTTTCGCATGCAAAGAGAACCGGCGCTGTGGCCAGGCCCAGTTTTAAGTCAGCTGCCGTTGGCTTGCCCATTTGCTCCGTGGAAGAGACGAAGTCCAGCATATCGTCCACCAGCTGGAAGGCCAGGCCAATATTACGTCCATATTGAAATGCCACCTCCGCAACATTATCATCGGCCTGGCGATAACGGCGGTCTGCGAAGAACAAAAACAAATATCTCAAAGTCAGTCGCTGGCCAATCAACTCCGGCCATCCAAATGGGCACAATGACAAACGCACTCGGGCACAGCCATTCGCATAAACATTTGCTACTGCAATTTGAAATGCAATTGCTATTGCTATGGCTATTGCGATTCGATTTGCATGTCGATGGCCGGGCTTACTCACCGCCTTCAGTGCATTGGCAATCAGCGATGCGGTCTTCCTGTATGTCTTGGTCAGATAGTGCGCGAAACGCTCATTCTCCGTTTCCCTCGAGCCCAGCTGCATGAATTCACCTTGAACCAAGTCGGTTAAGATCTGAAATAGATAAAAGGCAATGGATCAATTTTGGATCTATCTGTGTCTAGTTCAAAGAGAACTCGAGACAAGCTCTAGTCCATAGTCAGAGACAGAGACTCTATTGCCAACAAATATACTCGTCTTCAGGCAGTGAACAGAGTAATAAACACTAACAAGGTGGGTGAATCAATTAAAAGACAAGCAAAAATTGTGATTTCTGTTGGGTTTTGCCAGCTGAGGCTATTTTTGCAGTTTACATAGATCCATATGTACACAGATACTGGCGGGTAACTTCCGCATGGCTTACTGTTCAAATGCAAAGGGCAAACACAGATGTGCCAAATGATCTAAGCAAATACAGTTTCATTGAGACTCTAGCCAGGATGGTTGTTGCTACGCGAAAGATATGTGCATGGCTAACGCATGCGAGGGCAACTCGAGGCGTTATCTATTATCTTTCTCTCTTTATACATTTAGAAGTTTCACTAATGAAGTTCCTAAATAATGTGAATTTTATTAGAGTTAGAGTAGTACTTCAAGGAATATATATTAGCACGCATACATATGATTGATCAGGCCAGTACCTTATGAGTAACCCGCGCAGCATAGCTGCCATTTTTATTTGTACAAGAAATGTTGGCGCGCCCTTCGCTTAATTTGGAGATTTTGTTTGCCGTCTGCGATACGCGCATAAGTATTTTCATTCATTCATCACTCTTGGCTATTTCGCAGTCAGTTGTCAAAATATTGGACAAACAAACGGGAAGGTAGTCTAAAGCCGTCCATGCCTAAGATTGTATCTGATTCCAAGCTTCGCATAGATCTATGAATAGTACATTGGCACATGTATGTGCCTAGCGATGGGGGCGATGATATGTCAGTCGTGGTTGCTGATTGCTAAGGAGACCAAGGTGACAGCCGGAGACTTGGCTCGGGCTCTATATATACTATATGATAAATCCCAGCCAATTGGCTCGTCTTATGCACATTTTAGTGTTCGTTTTATCTGCTTCTTTTTTCTTTAGAGTTTGCATTAGAAGTAAAACAACATGTTGGCTTTCAATGTTAACTAATTAACACATGCGGCCGAAATAAGTGCGACTTGTGTGTACCAAAAAAACAGCATTGGCATTAGCAACAATGAGAGCAACAGCAACAACGATGAAAGAGCTACAAATGCCGCTGAAGCCTTTTTAAGCACTTGCTGACAA